CAATGACTGAAACTGCACATCTCAATGAGGGGAAAGTCTTCAAAGGAAGTTACCACTAAACAATTCCAAGGGCTTCTATCAAGGAGCTCTGGTAGCGTAGTGGTTACGATTCGGGCTGTGAACCTCAAGGTCAGCAGTTCGAAACTACCAGCCGCTCTGCAGGAGAAAGATGAGGCTTTCTGCTCCCATAAAGATTTACAGCCTTGGAAACCCTGTACAGGGTCGCTATGGGTTGGAACCGACTTGATGGCACTTAACAACAAATACTAAGTTTATCTTGTGGATGCTTTTACTGACCCTGCAGTCTTTCAGCTATGACAATAGTTAATGCAAGTAATGTTTCTTTGAAGATAGGAAACCAAAACTTTTTAATTAAAAATGACTTTTTTCGACAGTACAGTGGTATAAGACACTGTCAGAATACTTTTTTTTTGGGGGGGAGGGCCTGAATGTTCACTGTGTGCTAGATGTTGAGCTAAATACTTTATATACCTTATTTAATCCTTAAAACTATTTTTATAGCCTTGGTATTAGGGCATCTTTTTTTATTTTTTTTTTAATTTAAATTTTGAACTTTTAGGGCCAAATAAAAAAATATAGCGTTCAGAATACTCACAAAGTAAATATATGAACATATCCATGTAACTATCACCCAGGTGAAGAAACAGAAAATTAGATGGTCTTATCTCCATTTTGTAAGAGAGGAAACTGGAGGCCTAGAAACTACATATCAAACAAAGAGTAAAACACCTTAAAAAAACCCCCCAAAACTCCAGATACTAATGGTTATAAAGGGGGTAAAAACCACTATTACTGTACATGAGATTGCCAGCATTGCCACTCTCTTGCTAGAAAACGTCTAACCCGGGAATACTTTGATCCATGCTGTCCTCTTTGTATGAAGCAGCGTTGTCAAAAAGTTTGTGGAAAAATTCCATTTTTCTAAAAAAAGTTTTGAAGCCCCCTCATATGACTGTTGTTAAGTGCTGTTGAGTCAGTTCTGACCCACAGTGACCATATATAGGGTTTCCGAGGAGCAGCTGGTGGTTCTGAACTGCTGACCTTGTAGTTCGCAGTCCAGTGCTGATCTGACAGCGCCACACCAGGAGCCTCCTCATATAATAATGGGGGGCTTTTCATGCCCTGACCTGCACAGAACCTGCAACACACAACAGTATGCCAGGTGAGGGTGGATGGGTACAACTCCAGGATGGATTTGCTATGAGGGGCCTTCAGAGAGTCTGTGGAAAGTGGAATTGAAAGATCAAAAAGTTTTCCATGATTTTTTGAAACCCCCTCATATTTTCTTAAAGGATGACAATTTAGGGGGAAAAAAGTTGACACGCTAGTCATTTTAAACATTCCTAGAGTCAAACTGACCGGACTTTACCAGGCAGTCAAATACAAAACACAGTAATGTTGAAGATACGGCCCCTCCTCAAGTTCATGTGCAACAAGTGCAATTTAGTGAAGTAGCATTTTCCCAAGTCAATACATGCTATGGGGGCATCCAGTAGCTTAGCAAGCATGTGTAGAAAGCCCTCAGCTCCAAGACTGTCTTTATTCTGAAGTTCACAGTATAAAAGAAAAAGATTTACAAAATTGTGGCATTAACAGATGAATGCTTTCCACATATTTTTGTTATGACCATGTAATATGTGGCATCCTGGGGTGGTGCTGTAAGATAAGCACTGGACCTCAGGGTCGGTGGTTCAAACCCATCAGCCACTCCTGGGAAACGCTACACAGGGTTGCTACAGCACTTAACAACAATGCATAATGTGAAACCGCATTTGGAGAAAACATCAAAAGTCCAAATGTAAGGTCATTTAGATCGAGGTAGATGATGTCCCCATGGCACCCGTGGTATGTCGTTAAGTGCCATCGAGTTGGTTCTGACTCAGCGACTCTACATAGGGGTTTCCCAGGAGCAGCTGGTGGGTTTGAACTGCCGACCTTGTGGTTCGCAGCACAGTGCCGACCCTACAGCGCCACACCAGGCGTCCATACCCCTCGTACGATGGCCTTAATACCTGTTTACTGAACTAGGGAATGGGGGATAGGCGGGGCCAGAGCACTCTTCGGTCTTCAGTTAGCCTCTGATGGGTTCCAAGACAGGCAAGATCTAGTAACCAGGACAAGGCAGATCCGCTCTCACCTTCAAAGGTGGGCACCGGGAGCAGCGTCTTCAGGCCGGCACAGGCGGGCGAGGCCGCCCCAACACCTACGAAGACAACTCAGGTTAAACCACGCGAGCATCCGGGCCGGGGACTGGGGGAACCTGTGTGTGAACGGTGGGACGCAGGTCCCCAAGGAGACAAGACGACCCCTAGAGGCGGCTGTGATTCCTCAGTGCGAACGCTGCGTGGGGGTGGCGTCGCCGTATGCAGGGCTTCAACAACTAAACACAGAGCCTGCTGGCGGTAGGGGAGGCATCGGATTGGGGCGTGCGGAGCACAAAGTCGTGTTCTCTAGGGACCCAAAGGGAGTTCTCACCTGACAAAGGCACTCGCAGCAGCGGCGCACCGGCGCGAGTCAGTTGCCGCCACATGGTGAAGCGCGTCCAGGTACGTGGGACTCCTCTCCGTGATAAACGGGGTAACTCCCTTCCTTCGCCCCAGCCAAGGGAGCGGCGCACGGGAGTCACGCCGAAATCCGCTCTCGGCGCCACTCAATCCGGCCGTAAGTGGTGTCCGTGTACTCCCTCCTTTCGCCCCGGCCTAGGGAGTGGCGCACGGGAGTCACACTGGGGTCCACTCCCGGCGCCACTCAGTCCGGCCGGAAGTGGTGTCCGTGTACTCCCTCCTTTCGCCCCGGTCTAGGGAGCGGCGCACCGGAGCCACGCTGGGATCCGCTCCAAGCGCCACTCAATCCGGCCGGAAGTGCTTTCCGTGTACGCTCTTATGTTGAGGGCTCCGACAGAAGCAAAGGAAACCCGAGCCACAGAACTTGGGTTCCGGGGTTGGAATCTACTGGTCACCCTGGAGGTTGAGTATATTAGCTCTACTTTGTTGTTGTTACTGCTGTTGAGTCAGTTC